ATTGCATCTGAGGATGAAATCAAACCAACACTGACACCTGAAACTGCTGACACAGATAGGCAAATGGATGATGAAATCGCACCATCAATGACGGTAGAATATCCAGTTGATGAGAAAAAAGATAGTGGTGATGCAGTCAGGGATGCGATTATTACATCTGATAGTGAAATCACACCCACAATAACACCTCAATCTACAGAAATTGTAGGGCAAATGGATGTTGAAATTGCACCAACAATTACAGTAGTAGAATATTCAGCTGATGAGAAAAAAGATAGTGATGATGCAGTCAAGGACACTGTTATTCCATCTGATGATAACATCAAACCAACAGTGACACCTGAATCTGCTGACACAGATAGGCGAATGGATGATGAAATTGCACCATCAATGACAATAGAATATCCAGTTGATGAGACAAGAGATAGTGATGATGCAGTTAGGGATGCTATTATTTCATCTGATAGTGAAATCGAACCCACACTTACATCTCAATCTGCAGAATTTGTAGGGCAAATGGATGTTGAAATTGCACCAACAATTATAGTAGAAAATCCAGCTGATGGGCAAAAAGATAGTGATGATGCCATCAAGGATGCTGTTATTGCATCTGAGGATGAAATCAAACCAACAGTGACACCTGAATCTGCTGACACAGATAGAAAAATGGATGATGAAATCACACCATCAATGACAGTAGAATATCCAGTTGATGAGAAAAAAGATAGTGGTGATGTAGTCAAAGATGCCATTATTCCATCTGATAGTGAAATCACACCCACAATGTCACCCCAATCTGCGGAAATTGGTGGGCAAATGGGTGTTGAAATTGCACCAACAATTACAGTTGAATTTACAGCTGATGAACAAAAGTATAGTGATGATGCCATTAAGGACGCTGCTATTCCATCTGATGATAAAGTCAAAGCCACACTGACACCTCACTCTTCTGAAATGGATAGGCAAACGGATGTGTCAATTGCGCAATCAATGTCAGTAAAGCCTCCAGTTGATGAGCAAAAAGATAGTGATGATGCAGTCGAGCAAACTGTTATTCTATCTGGTGATATAGTCAAACCCACACTGAAACCCGAATCTGCAGAAATTGATATACAAATGGATGTTGCAATTGCGCCATTAGTGAAATTAGAATATCCAGCT